CTAGAAGCTGCTGCGTTGTTGGTAAGAAAGCGGACTCCGTTTTGCGCAGCCCGCGTATTGGATTTCGCGGCGCAGTTGCGTGTTTTTGCGGGATCACTTGGCGTTCCCGCTGGCTTGCCAAACTACGTCCTCGTGGTGCCAGCTGGGTGGTTCGGGTGTACCCCGTTCCAGCAAAGTGTTCGGCAACAATGTTCCACCTGGGTGCGACATTGTATTCCAGCAGGTGTGCTGACTTCATGGGGAGTATTGGGCCTCTCTTTGGTAATCTACCAAACAAAGACACATGAACTGTACATTCAGTCAACGCCTCCCAATGAGCGCAATTCCCTTAATTCGCCCCGCTGCCTTGCGGGTAGGTTATTTAGCCAAATGCTTGGGGTGGAGTCCCCTAAGTCAACTCCCTACTTCGGCTTGGGCAACCGGGTAGTATCACGCCTTCTCGCAAAACCATGGACTGTATTACAACGTGCACATCAACTACTGTTTCTCCTAGTCACTTTCACGGGACTTCATCACACGCCAATTGCTTGTTTGCTAACAATCCTCACTTTCCGTTACCCGATTCATGTGTTCAACAATCTGGCTGCGATTCCGGTTGCGCCGCAGACCAAGGAGTTCAACTTATGGCTCTCCTTCGTCCCCGATTCTCGTTCCATCTGGCATGCTTCAACGTTCGGACACTCATGCAGACTGGACAGCAAGTCGGTCTAGCGCGCACCCTAGATTCCCTAGACATTGATGTCTGCTGCCTTTCAGAAACCCGATTGCACGATCTCAGCACTGTGCTTACATTGACATCTCCCACTAACCACGAAGCCAGATATCACCTGCGTCTTTCTGGAGATCCAGAAACAGCCTCAGCGGGTTTGGCTGGCGTAAGTATAGCACTAAGTGCCTAGGCCGAGGCGGCACTACTGGACTGGTTCCCGATTAACAGCCGGCTATGTGCAGTTCGCCTTCGGGGTTCATGTAGAATCAACAGGCACCGCGAAGAGAGACACAATTTGTTTGTGATCTCCGTGTACGCTCCAACTGACTGCAGTGGCAACTCGGTCAAGGACGAATTCTACCGGAATCTACAACAGCTCTTGACTAATGCTAAAAAGTCGGATGTCGTTATTCTTGCTGGGGATTTTAATGCACGGGTTGGTCGCCTGTTATCATACGAACGCCACCTTGGTGATCATCACGCGCTCTATGAGAATCGCTTTGATAACGGAGACTTCTCACATTGTGCGAAGACAACCGTCTGTTTCTTTCGAGCACTAAGTTCAGGTGTACGAAGAAGCTTTCCGCAACGTTGCGTCCCCTTTCTTCAACACAACCGTGGTCTCAAATTGATCACATTGCAATTAGCTTCAGATGGCGCAGCAGCGTACTGGACTGCCAGTCCTTTTGGTCCACTTTCGTTGACTCAGATCATGCTCTGGTCTGCGCGAAAATCTGTATGTGTTTTGGAGGATCCCGAAACACGATGCACCGCAAGATTTGTGTAAACAGATTAACTGGTTCCACTGTCCAGGAGAGCTATCAGTCTTCACTGGCATATGCACTCAGTTGCAATCCACCGCAAGACGTGGAACAACACTGGACGTGTATACTTAAAGCGATGACGATTTCTGGACAGTCATGCTGCGGCCTAACTCGACGCCCCTTGAAGGCTTGGATCTCTGCTCGTTCTCTGGAGTTGTTCGAACGCCACAAAGATATCCCTGCGGAATCAGATTGCAACGAGCGGCGCCGTTCTGCCAACCGGCTGCTCAAGCAAAGCCTACGCAAGGATCGTGAGACATGGTGGTCTGAGCTTGCTTTAACGATGGTGACCACTACCATCTCTGGCAACACTCGAAGGCTTTTCCAACTCATTCGGTTCACTGGTCTCAGGAAGCCTGGTGTCAGTGAGCTCATTTGTGAGGTGGATGAATCTCCGATCACCAACTAACAGGGACGTATGGTCCGCTGGGCCGAGCACTTTCACTCGCAGTTCAACTGGCCTCTACCATCCATCAGTACATGCAGTACACCTTGTTGTCCACCCTGGCTCGTCCCACTGAATCCACCGAGCGAAGCGGAACTCTGCCTCGAGATTCGACGCATGAAGAGCTTCAAGGCTGCTGGCTTAGACGGACTTCCTCCGGAACTATACAAGTACGGTGGTGTGGCAATCATTAACCAGCTGACCGCGTTGTTCGCAAAAATTTGGCACGAAGAGAAAGTGCCTTCCAGTTGGAGAGAATCAGTTATTGTCCCGATTTTCAAGAAAGGCGCTCGCACTTCATGTGCAAATCATCGCGGGATTAGTCTTATTTCGGTTGTCTCTAAGCTATTGGCATCCATTCTGCTTCGCAGACTATCCCCAATATGTGAATCATACTACCGTGACGAACAAGCTGGTTTCCGTCCTTGCCGCGGATGCGTGGATCAAATCTTCACGCTTCGCCAGCTCCTCGAGCATCGGCACATTTATCACAGGCCCACTATCGTTACATTCCTAGACATACGTGCCCCTTTTGACTCCGTTGATCGACCTGCTTTTTTTGCGTTGCTTACTAAAGAACGGGGTGTCAAAGAAATATACCGCCATCTTACGAGCACTTTATCTTCATACATGCGGCAGAATGAAGGTCTATGGCAAGCTTTCCTCGCAGTTCGCTGTCAATAGCGGTGTGCGACAGGGCTGCCCTATGTCCCCATTCCTCTTCAACTTCGCAATCGGAGACGTTCTGTCGAATGCTCTAGAAGGTTTCTAACATTTTGGCTTAGAGCTTCTACCGGGTGAGCGCGCGACCGACTTAGCTTATGCTGATGATATCGCCTTACTGGGTGACGACCCTCAGGGTATGCAACTCATTCTGGATCGTTTGGCGGTTGTAGCATTCGCTCCATCGAAGTGTAAAGTACTGCTCAAGGATTGGCTTTCACCTGCTCCCATGCTCACTCTCGAAGGTGCACAACTTGAACAGGTAGATAGTTTCGTCTACCTCGGGAGCTGTTTTTCTGCTGAAGGCACTATCAACAAAGAAGTTTCTCTTCGCATTGCTAAAGCTCGATCAGCATTTGTTAATCTGAGGCAGTTGTGGTGTCGTCGCGACGTCACATTCTCAATAAAGGACCGCATTTACAGCGCATCAGTTCGCTCATTATTGTTATATGGGCGCGAGTCCTGGCCGATTCGCGTGGAAGACGCGTCGTCTTTCTGCCTTCGATGCCGGTTGCTTAAGGAGGATCGCTCGTGTTTGGTGGCAACATCGATTTAATAGTAAGGACGTTCGATGTCGCATCTTGGGGAATGCAAGCATTTCCTTAAACAAACTGGTTTTGTTGCGCCAGTTAAGATGACTCGGACACGTCCTACGCATGGCACCTGAGCGTCTACCGCGTCGCGCTCTATTTGCTCGTCAAGGACCTGGCTGGAAGCGACCGCGTGGTGGTCAGCCTTCCACTTGGCGGCAGCACATGAAATCGCTGACGTCGTGTCTAGCCGCTGTTGGATCCGTACGTTTTCCAGGATGGGGACCCAAAGATGAGGAGTGCCAATGGCTTAGGACTCTTGAAGACATGACCCGCAACCGGAATAAGTGGAAGAATTGTGTACAGTATTGTGTTGATTCACATGTTTAATACTACAAACATTGAAAATGACAAAAAAGAGAAAAATCGGCGTGTGAAAAACAAACTAAAAATGTTTTGTTCTAGTTTTTGTCAAAATGTTCCATTTTCCCTGCGGCATTTTAGCTGAAGTATGTTGCCCACCTTCAAATACCATGCCAGGGTGATTATGACGCGATGACTCTTGCTTATCCGCTGATCTCCATGGTTTTATGTTGGCTCTGTGTCTAGTTGATAGACTGTTGAGAAAAAATAAGAAACATAGTTAGCCGAGCCATGTAGACTGATAAATGATGCGTGCGTCACTCACCAGAAGTAGACCGTAACTACGTGAGTGTTCACCGTTGCCGCTCCCGAGAGTATCATGGCCACTGTAACGACGAAACCACGTTATATCGAATTTTATCACACTAATTCTATTTAAAACGTGCTACGTCAAGCTATAAACCTAAACTATTCGCACTCCCTCGGCCGAAAGCGGTTGGAACAGACATACTTGTTAGAAAACCCTGTAACCTTGTTTCTAGAAGGTGGAATAGTGTACAAGATAGGGCTAACGAGTAGGTTTGCAACGTGAGGTCGGATGGCGCATACAGATAACCGGAACCATAGTGTTAATAGCAGATTGATAAAGGCCTCACATTGGGAACCACTCATGCAAATGAAGTGAACGGAAAGCGGTCCTCGTTCGAGAATTCAATGGTCTAAAGCACGGAGAGCATGTTATTAACTCGGCAGATGAAATGAGGTGGGAAGAGTACACTGAACAATCCAGAGGGAATGATCCATCCGGTGTAGGAAATTAAAGTTCATTTGAACTTTACAGCCACTGAGTTAAAGTTCATTCAGTCTGCTGGTCTGCGCGTTTAAGTCTCCGGCTATCATCTGTCCCTTGAACGCGAAGCGTTGTGTGTGTTTGTTGAGGCCACCATGTTCCTAGCGATGAAACATCATGGCAAATGATGTACGTCAATGATGTGATAAGTTTTCTACATCAACAAATGTGACCGAATTACTTTCATTGGTTTTCGGTCAATGCTGGCTGGCTCATGGCCATACTAGACTCCCTACTCGGGACAGAATGAAGCGTTTCTCCCGTGTAACGGTCCTCAGAGCGCTTAGCAACCACGTCCTACTGGAATCGGTATTAGTGTCTAGATTACACTGCCTAATTGATCTGCGATTGTTCGTTGTTTACTATCCTCTTACTTGCTGCCACATCGATATTTTCTCATGCACGCCCTGATTTTTATGCTTCCCGTCTATCAGGTGTCGTTTTACATGTTTTTTTAATTATTGTTATACATCGTTGAATCGTTCAAAATATACTGACCTTGTTTTCTAATCGCCTTTTTTCGCCCCTGGATTTCGAAGATTTGTTTCCGTTTCAGGTCAGCAAGTGCACACATGTGACCGCTGCCAGGAAACATTTACGCGGGCAGGCGCTCTCCGATTGCACATCGATTCTGTTCACTTGAGTGAGTATTCCGTTCGATGTCGAGTTTGACAATGGTCCAATAATTTTCTGCAATTGCAAAGCACAATCTGTCTTAGTTGGTTCAATTCAGCTTCACACATTAAATCCTACTGACTGCACTAACGGCTTTGTTTAAGTGATATGTTTTTCTTCCTCACCTTGCCGACGTGACCGCACTTTAACGTGGTGCGGTGATTTGTGTGCCTCAGTGTTCCATTGGGCTATGCTGGGTTGTGCTTTTCGCACCTTCAGAGCCACTCATACCAAATTTCTCTATAGCTAGAGGCCAGATAAACAGTCTCCTGGACCTCCAGGTTGTGGATTTCAGTGAGGTTGTCTCATTACTCCATAAAATGGACTCTTTGTAGCCCAGAGCTAAAACTCGGCCGCTTTGGGGTAAGGCTTTCGAACCCAAGTCTTGAGTTGAGAACGCTATAGTTGTTTTCACTTCATTCTATCGATGAATTAATAGTCAAACTTGCAAATATCAGTCTCTTCTCGAAGCTTCATATTTGCAGTGCATATTTCACATGCAGCTTAAACCACATTGCCGACATTTATACTCTGTTCTTATCCAATCTCAGAGGACGTGTTGTCTTTGGTATCAGTCCTGTAGTACATGAGGAAAACCTTAACAACGTATTGCGATCGCTGAGTGACTTGAATCCATCGCGACGAGACTGGACTCTAATGTGGTGTGATGGATTCTGTGCCACAGTGATTCTTTCAGTTATGCTGTGTGGTGCATTTTGTACTTTCAACGCCACTCATACCAGATCGGTCGATAGTTAAAGACCAGGCAAACTTACTCTCCTTGCCCCCAAGGTTGGAGCTTGCAGTGAGGATATCTGCTTACTCCATGAAACGAGCTCTCTGTAGTGAAACAATCAGGGATTTACAATAAGGAGTGCCATATAGCTCGTAGGGTGGAGCAATTTCAAGATCAGTTCAGCTGGCCCCCTGCTCCCGGACCTCTTCCTACTCAGGTGATGCAGGATGAGCCATGAACGGTTAGTTTATAGGCTCCATCGGAGGCTGAGGTCCGAAACGCGATCACAGCCTTCAATCGTTTTCGTGCCGCTGGCCCGGATTCCCTCCCACCAACACTCTTTAAGGATGGAGATGAGGTCCTCTGCAAAACACTGCCCTCCCTGTTCGAACATGTCTGGAAGAGACCGTCTCGGCTAACTGTAGTGAATCGATTGTAGTTGTGATATACAAGTAGGGCAATCGCACTGACTGCTAACTACTGGGGTATTAGCCTAAAGCCGGTGCTGACAATAATACTGGCCTCAATTCTCGTTCGTTGCCTCACTGCGAAACGGGCGTCCTGGATTATGTAACAGCAGGCAGGTTTCCGCTCTTGACCTGGTAAGTGCTCGAGCCTTGCTACGCATACCGCAGACAGGTAGTACCTGTGTTCCTGGACTTAAGAGTGCGTTCGTTTCACTAGATCGATGCATTTTACTGGAAATACTTGAGCGCAAAGGCTTTCCAACGAAATATATGAATATTTTACGTCTTGCATACTCGAACACGACAGACCGTGTCTGGTCTACGGTGACATGTCGGATAGCTTTCCGACAACAAGTGGCGTTCCTCAGGGTTGTCTCATTTTCTCATTTTCGTTCAACTTCGTCGTGGACCCCATCATATAGTGATCCCTTACGGAATCTCACGCTGTAGGCGTTTAGGTTTTGCCTGGTAAAAGGTTAGTTTATCTTGATTGTGCGAGCGATATCATGCTGCTTTTAACGATACTGCTGCAGTACAATCCACTCTGAATAGCCTCTCTAGAATGGTCCCATTATTTGGGATACAGTTCGCACCTCCAAAGTGCATTGTGTTGCTGCGGCAACACTAGCCACTTGACTTTTTATAGCTAGGAAGTCGATGCAGTTAATCGCCTCACCTACCTTTTTAGCTGTATCAGCTACGACAAGCCTATAGCAACTGAAGTCAGTTCACGTATTGCAAAAGCCATCTCTGCTTTCTTGAATCTGCGACATCTTCAGTGATAGAAATGGGTTTCCCTCCGTCCGAAACGCTGTGTTTACGAGGCCACAGTGAGGGCAGTCCTATTCTATGGAATTGAGACTTGGCCCCTTCGATCTGAGAATCTGATTCACCTACAAGTCTCTGATCATCACTGTTTGCGGGCCGTTGCTGGTGTCGGGTGGCATCAGCGTGTAAACAATGGTGATCTGCTTGGACGAGTGTTAGGCAGTCATACTCAAGTTAGTTCCTTAGAACAGCAGATAGCACTGAATAAGTTGCATTGGTTTGAGCACGTGCTACGTATGCCCGGTCACCGCTTACCGATATACGGTGGCGCAAGGCTCGAGGTGGACAAACGTTGACTTGGCAGTGGGAAATGAAGTCACGCACGACGAAACTGGGTGCATTGGTCCATCTCGTCCTCCAGGCTGGAGTCCACGTGACGCGTCTTGGGCTCGGCGGGCGACTTTACAGGACATGGCTCGCAGTCGACACCAGTTGCACGTCTGCTGCCGTCTCCTTATCGGACTGCCTCTTTAAAGGGTGTTTGATGCTGTGAAAGCCGCAAGGAAACTCTCCCACCGATTCCGCCATGTCTTTGCATGATGACCAGCTGTTTGTGACGGTAGGTTGTTAACAAGGTGTAGGCGCGTTGATCCTGAATGTTTGCTTAGGCATTAAGGCTTTCCGGTTAGTCCCCTTTTTCTTCCTGTTAGTATTTTTCGTTCCTTAGGTCGTTATGGTTGTATGGCAGCAATGCATCAGTTCAAACGACTGATGTACTGCTGTTGATGTTGATGATGGATAGACGTAGTATAAGCCCTAAATGCCCTATGCAAACATCCAGCTTCGAGGTTTATACAGACAGCTGGTTATTGTACAAAGATAAAGCGTTATCAGTGAGATAGCTTACACCCAGCTTCCACCGTCCCGTGTCATGATCGTTTCTTACGGCGCTGGTAAATCCGTATCAATGATACCGACTGGGAGCCATGTCATGCAACGTCTCGGATCAAGCACAAGGCGGGTCATGCGGAGTACAGCCAGGAAGGCGAGACGGATCAACGGCCCTCAGTTTTGTAGCCAGTAATTTCGTTTCCGGCTACCAAGCCAACATTTTCCTACATCTATCCCTACACCATTCCACATCCGGATAATATTGCAAGGCAACTGTTCAAAACCGCACTAATACATATCCACTGTGCTACGTATGAATTTAAGGAGACGTATAGTCACAACCAGTGCTGCGACATCGGCACACAATCGCTATCTGAACCGAGTTACGGATGCAACTATCTATGACAACCCTTTGCGGAGTGAAGTGCGGTGTTTAGGCGGTCGGAAGATGTTATTGCGATGACGTATCGGATGAATCTGAAGGGTGAACAGGACGCGACCCGATTGGACGCTGTTGTCAGGCTTAGTGGCAGTGGCTATTTCTCTACGTGGTTGCACTGGTTGCGTTGCCTATGAAATGCCGTTATCGTTCCAGCGTCATGTGTTTTCACCTTACACATTCTGGATCAGACTGCAAAGAGCGATGTTGGAGGCTGCCTCGTACGCACATTGGTTGCGTGAAGTCTTTGTTACTAATAGATATATGCCAGCTACGCTATCCCTCACACTATGGATTAATTTTCACGCTTACAGCGGATCTTGTGCGTTGCGGATCCTCAACTTTATCGTATATTATTGAGATCTTGGTATAATTTGACTGGTGTACACCTACTGTAACAGTCCATTTGCCATTCCGTGTCTCTATTCCCCATGGGATTGATCTGTGCTTGCTCGCCTTCTGTTTCCTTATCCAGATAAACGCCGCCATGTGTGTGAACTCTGTAATAAACCTTTTACTCAAAAGGGCAATTTAAACATACACATCCAGACCGTTCATTCAAGTAAGTATGAGACGGGCGGTATGGTTTTATTATCGTTTTACGACATGCCTTATAACACCATTGATCGTTCGATGATGACAACTCTAATAACATTGATGTTTTTTCTCGCCTTGTTATGAACCACTCCGGTGGAATTATACTCAGGAGATTACATGCAGTTGCTTGCAAACAAACGTCGAAAAAGTGAGAGCGTAAAAATTTTCCCCCGATTATCGTGCAGAAAAGGCATCTTCTGTATGCAACTGAGAGTCTTTGTAGTTGCCGCTTCACTTTGCCGATTACAAAGCAACAGGGACGTTCCTAATGAGCTCCTAATTTAATCTATTAGTGCACGAATATGACGGACTGCCCATAGTTTGTTAAACTCGGCAGCATACTTTCATGTGCAGTAGTCTTTAATGGGGACAAGCGGTGATAAGTACAACTAGTTAATGGAAGAAGCAAATTTTGTATGGTAACGGAGATAGCACATCTCAAAGAAAAATTTTCTCTCCGCCCCAACATCGTTATAGTGCACAACAAAATCGTCCGCGTAATCAAGATCAACTAGCTATTCACCAGCCAGCACCACAATTCCTGCATTGTGAGGCTGCGCAACATAACATGACGAAGTTGAGCAAAAATTGTAATTAGAATTGGAAATCCATTTTTCTGCTGCCGCCTTATCTTTGCACGATAGCCGGCTGTTTGTGACGGTATGCTGTCGACACACTGTGTTGGCGTCTTGTCTGTGGATACTTAATTAGGGCATTAAGATATTACGCTAGATCTCCATTCACTCCCTTGTTATTCTTGATTTCGGAGGTCACCATGGTTGCACGGCTTCGAGGCATCAGTTCAAATGACTGATGCACTGCCGTTGATGATAGTTTCGTTTTTGCTGATCTCTAGTTGAGATTTCTATTTACCATCGCAATTAGGCTAGACTTTACCGTGGTGCGATGGTTTGTGTGCCTCAGCGATCTATTGAGCTATGCTGGGTGGTGCCTTTGCACCTTCAGAGCCACTCATACCAGATTGGTCAGTGGTTAGAGGCCAGACAAACTCAGCCTCCTGGTCCTCCATGTTGGTGGTTGGAATGAAGGTGGCTCCTTATTCATTAAAACGGACTCCTTGTAACCCAACGCCCAACCGGCTGCCCTGCGGTAAGGTTTTTAAACCAAAGGCTTTGGTTGAGAACCCTAATCGTTCTCCTGTCTAGGCCTGGGTAACCTGACAGTATCCTGCCCACGCAATACTATGAATCGCTCTTCAAACAAATTTCTTGATCCTCTGGCCACCGCAAAGGATAAACCAGTTTCACTTTCATCCCTCTGTTTCCAACCCCCTAATTCTTGGCCCTCCCCCACCTTGCTACAATAGTCGCTTGTCTTTTCGTTTCAACTCACATCTGAACGCGTAGTGCCAGTCCTGCCCTGTCAACAGGCCCATTTCCAACCAAGCGGTCCACCCCAGTTCATCTGCTCCCAATGGGAGCCTTCGATCCTCCTTCAGATTGGCATGCCTCAATGTACGCACACTGCTACAAATCGGTCAACAGGCAGCACTTGCCCGAACATTGGAGACCCTCTCGATCGATATCTGCTGCTTATCAGAGACTCGCTTGCAAGACTCGAGCACTGTGCTCACTCTGCGATCTCCTTCAGGTGACGCAAGCAGTATTTTCTCATTGCACCTATCCGGTGACGATGCATCTTCGAGCACCGGCTAAGGTGGTGTTAGCGTTGCTCTGGGTCCCCTTGCTGAAGCTGTTCTGGTTGATTGGATTCCAATCAGTAGCCGGATGTGTGCGGTCCGATTGGCTGGCTCGTTTAAAGCTTCGAAGTCGCGCGGGACTAATAGATGTCTATTCATCATCGCTGCCTACGCGCCCACAAAACCAACCAGCCTTAGACGCAAATCGATCACATTGCAATCAATTACCGCTGGTGAGGCTGCATCCAGGACTGTCGCTCGATTTGGAGCACATGTGCGGACACCGACCATGCACTTGTATGTGCTTGCATGCGGATGCCTTTCGGCGGACGCCCTCAACGACACTGTGAGCGCATTGACACCAGTCAACTGACGAAGCTAGATGTTCTGAATGCCTATCAAAGTACGCTGATATGCGAGTTGCGTAATCGCTCACTGGAGAAGATAGAAGATCACTGGTCGCATGTTCGCCAGACCTTATAGCAGCAGGCAAATTCTCATGTTGTAAGTCTAATAGCCAACATGGACATTGGGTCTCTTCACAGTCTCTGGAACGTATCGATGCTCTCCGGCATATTCCGGCTGGAAGCGAACACAGTGAAACTCGCAAAGAGTTCTGGGCAAAACTCCGTGCTAGCCTGAAGAGGGACCGATAATCCTTGTGGTCTCTTCGTGCGTCAAAGATGGTAGTAGCCGTTGCACTTGGTAACCGTCGTAAGTTGTTCCGTCTGATACCAGTAACGGGCAGCAGGAGACCTAGGGTTAGTGAAACAATTTGTGATGAGAGTGAACAGCCTATCCACAATTTGTCAAAACGTTTAGAACGTTGGGTTGAGCATTTTGAAAAGCAATTTATTCGTCCATAATTTCGATTCCTTACCGGCTATTGGTCGCCCTGCACTGTGGGCTGACCCTTTGGATCCGCCCTCTCGCTCAATAGTCAAACGAGTGATCGGACTGTTGAAGTTGAACAAAGCCGCGTGACCAGATGATCTTCCTCTAAGCCTCTTCAAACTCGGGGCCCTGCTTTGCTTGATGATTTACACGAGTTACTAGTGAAACTGTGAGAGCAGGAAACTGTCCCAACCAACTGGAGCCGCTCCGTTATTGTTCCCGTCTTAAAAGCAGGCTCGCTTTCCGAATGCGGCAACCATAGAGGAATCCGTCTGCTCCTCATCCCATCCAAATTACTTGCCTCCGTAATCCTTCATAGACTTACTGACGCTCTTGAAAGCTAACTTCGTGAGGAGCAAGCCGGGTTTCGTCGGGGTCGTGGCTACCTCGACCACGTCTTCACTTTGCGTCAGTTGTTGGGGCACTGTCACACGTATTGGAGGCCTACCGTTGTGTTCCTCCATACCAACGGTGCCTTCCATTCTCTTGATCGATGTGCCCTTTGGGACTATCTAGTCAGGAAAGGTGTGCCCGAGAAACATGTCAATATTATCCGAGCATTCTACGCGCGTAGTACGGGCAGGATGAGAGCTACCGGCCAGCTGTTGCCACCCTTCAATATTTCCGGCGGTGTGAGACAAGGATGCCCGCTGTCACCTTTCCTCTTCAACTTCGCCATTGACGAAGTCATGGAGATTGTATTTACAGGACATGACTTGGAAGGTGTGGAGCTACTCCCAGGAGAACGACTTCTTGACTTGGAATATGTATACGACATTGCCCTAATCTGTGACAGCTCCCAGACGTGTCAAGCTGTACTGGATATATTAGCACTGGCTGTCCGTCATTTCGGGTTTTGCTTTGCACCAGCGAAGTGCCTCCTTCGCTGACCCTTGTTGGAGATCAGCTAGAAGTCGTTCAAAAATTCAACTACTTGGGAAGTTGTATCAGCGCTCGTGGGATTGAAGATGAGATAACGAACCGTGTAGCAAAAACTCGAGACGCTTTTGCTAACCTTCGCCGCTATGGCGGCGGCGCGACATCACTCTCTCCCTGAAGGGTGGAGTGTGCAATGCAGCGGTACGTTCGACCCTACTGTACAGTTGCGAAACCTGGCCCTTTAGATCAGTAGACACGAAGGGGTTAGTTACGTTCGATCATCGATGCCTTCGCAATTTGGCTTACATCTGGTGGGAACACCGAGTGAGCAACGAGCTTGTTCGACGCCTTGTTTACGGCACAGGAAAAGGAACTGAACCGCTCAGCATCGTCATTTCACGCACCAGGCTGCGATGGCTGGGCCACATGTTACGCATGCTAGTCAATGGACTTCCGCGACGTGCGTTTGTTGCGCGCGTTGGGTGCGGATGGAAGAATAGGAGGGGTGGCCAAGCGATGAATTGGTCTAGAGGAATGAATGCCCCCAATTCGAAGCTGGCCTCGGTTAGAGCGTCTCGGCTCCCCGGTTGATGTCCGAAAGACGATGACCGTGTTTGGCTGGATACACTTGTTGACGTGGCTAGGAGTCGACCTCATTTACGTTCGTGCTGTGAGTTTCTTGTCCCACCCCATCACTCTTAGCCTTCCCCTCTATCCGCGATCTCATTTCGTAGCATAATATCATTTTACATAATAATTTTTCTTGTTGCGTAGTAGCCGGCTGGTAGCTTTCTGGAACGATGCCCATCCGTTGCTAGTAGCTCAGCTGGCTTTTAGCTGTTGTATTTATTTTCTTTTTTTGTGTTGTGGCACAGTAGCTGAAGTGCTTTACACCTCTAGCTAACTTGTATAATGGTGATGATGATCTCTAATTTGTTATTTAGAGAACAGTTCTTATATACTCTCTAATTTCTCTTCTCCAATCACGTACGGTGATTGTGCTGTTTATTCAGACGAATTACAGGGTTGTATTTTCCAGTTTCTTACTGACTTGGCTTTCTAAAATTCGTTGTCTGGATGAATTGGTTTGAAATGAGAGAAGTGAGCTGGGTATTGCGTAACACCCTGACGTGGTCATCGCTTATCAATTACACCTGTGTGGCTAGAAGTGATGTACGCGTAAAACGTTTATCTAGGGAATGCGATGTGAAAAGGATAGACGGTCGAGAGTGATTTCCGATGCATCACCGCCAGTATCTTCCTGGCGTTGGACTCTACGGTCTCCTGTGTCCAGGTCATGGTACGGTCTGTCTGACGAGTCTATGAACTTCAGCGTGATGTGTCCCCTGGCTCTACATATGAATACCACGAAGACAAGTTGAACGAGGAGCGTGGTGCTACCTTGTCTGCCGGTTGATGTTATTTATACTGCCAGTCGTGCGTATCTGCTGAGAGCTGATGCCGGGCCCTCGCGCTTAGACTATGTGTTTTCGGAGCTACACATCGCTCACACGATGTTGTCACTTTGAACT